GCCGCGCGCGCGGCGGCCAGCCCGCACCTTGCATAGAAGACTGCCGCGCTCGAGGGGCCATGGACCGCCGCGCGCGCGGCAGCCCAGGCACATCGTGCACGGGGGGAAAAACAATGCGCGGTGGGCCAGGGCCGCCGCGCGAGAGGCGGCCCACGCGCATCGCATATGCAAAGAATCACACACACAACGCGCGAAGGCGCAACCTGCATTGAATAACACCAATGCGCGAAGTGCCAGGGCCGCCGATCACGGGGCTGACCACGCCCATCTTGCGTGGATGAAAAATACCTTGCGCGAAAAGCCATGGGCCGCCGCGCGCGCGGCGGCCCACGCGCACCTTGCGTGGAAGAATGCAGCACAACGCGCGAGGGGCAACGGCCGGCCGCGCGCGGCTGACCCCGCGCATCCTGCGTAGACGAACGCAGCGCGCGAAGGGCCAGGGCCGCCGCGCGTGCGGCGGCCCGCGCGCACCTTGCACAGCAACGCAAAAAGCGAAAGGCCACGGGCCGCTGCGCGGGCGATGGCCCACGCGAACTTTGCGTGGACAAAAACACAATGCGCCAATGGCACGGGGCCGCCGCGCGCGCGGCGGCCCACGCGCATCCCGATGGAAACGTGCACCGCGCGGTGGACCAGCGCCCACGCGCATCTTGCACCGAAGAAAACACACGCGCACACACCATGCGCGAGATGGCATGGACCGCCGCGAGCGCGGCAGCCCACGCGCACCGTGCACGGGCAAGCGCAATGCGCGAGCGGCAATGGGTCGCCGCGCGCGTGGCGGCCCGCGCGCATCGCGCATTGAAAAAATGCACGATGGGGCCACGGGCCGCCGCGCGCGCGGCGGCCCACCCGCATGCTGCATGGAGAAGCGCAATGGGCGAGGGGCCAGGCCCGCGCGCGCGCATCGTGTAAGACAACTAAAAAACGCGCGCGAGAGCAATGAGCCGTCGCGCGCGCGGCTGCCCATGTTTATCCTGCATGAAAAAAACAATGCGCGAGGGGCCATGGGCCGCTGCGCGCTCGGCGGCCCACGCCTATCTTGCAAGAGGGGAGGAACAATTCACGAAGAGCCTGCGCCGCCGCGCGCGCGGCGGCCCACGTTCATCTCGCACGAGAACAACGCGACGCGCGAGAGGCCACGGGTCGCCCCGCGCGCGCGGCGGCCCACGCGCATCCCGCATAGAAAACACACCGCGCGAACGGCCATCGGCCGCCGCGCGCGCGGCGGCTCGCGCGCATCTTGCATGGAAGCAACCACGCGCGGCGAGAGCCCACGCGTATCTTGCTCGGAAAACGCGATGCTTGCATGGCAATGGGCCGCCGCGCGCGCGGCGACCCGCGCGCCTGCGGCGGCCCACGCGCACTGCGCATGGAAAACCCAACGGGGGCTGGCAATGGGCCGCCGCGCGCGCCGCGGCCTACGCGCATCTTGCATGGGAACATCCATGCGCGAGGGCCCATGCGCATCTTTCATTGAAAGACACCATGCTTGGGGGGCCATGAACTGGCGCGCAAGCGACGCCAAAGCGCATCGCGCATAGCAACAACAATGCGCGAGGGGCCATGGACCGCCGCGCGCGCGGGGCAGCTCACGCCCATCTCGCAGGGGGGGGGGAACAAAAAAACTCTCGAGGGGCCAGGGCCGCCGGGCGCGCGGCGGCCCACGCGCATCCTGCATGGAAAGAACACAACGCGCGAGAGGCGATGGGCCACCGCGCGCGGCGGCCCACGCGCATCTTGCATGGAAAAAATGCAACGCGCGACGGGCCAGGGCCGCCGCGCGCGCGGCGGCCCGCGCGCATGTCGCATGGCACAACATAGCGCGTGAACGGCAGTAGGCAGACCCGCTCGCGGCGATCCGCGCGCATCTTGCATGGCAAACATCACGCGCTAAGGGCATGGGTCGCCGCGCGCGCGGGGGCCCGCGCGCACCCCGCATGGAACACCATAATGCGCGAGGGGCCATGGGCCACGGCGCGCGCGGAGGCTCGCGCGCATCTTGCGTGGAAGCAACCACGCGCGGCGAGAGCCCACGCGTATCTTGCTCGGAAAACACGATGCTTGAAGGGCAATGGGCCGCCGCGCGCGCGGCGGCCCGCGCGCCTGCGGCGGCCCACGCGCACTGTGCATGGAAAAACCAACGGGGGCTGGCAATGGCCCGCCGCGCGCGCCGCGGCCTACGCGCATCTTGCATGGGAACATCCATGCGCGAGGGCCCAAGCGCATCTTTCATTGAAAAAACACCATGCTTGGGGGGCCATGAACTGGCGCGCAAGCGACGCCAAAGCGCATCGCGCATAGAAACAGCAATGCGCGAGGGGCCATGGACCGCCGCGCGCGCGCGGCAGCTCACGCCCATCTTGCATGGAGAAAAAAAAAAAAAAAAAAAAAAAAAAAAACGCTCGAGGGGCCAGGGCCGCCGCGCGCGCGCGCGGCGGCCCACGCGCGTCTTGCACGCAAAAACGCAGCGCGCGGGGGGCCAGGGCCGCCGGGCGCGCGGCGGCCCATGCGCATCCTGCATGGAAAGAACACAACGCGCGAGAGGCGATGGGCCACCGCGCGCGGCGGCCCACGCGCATCTCGCATGGAAAAAATGCAACGCGCGACGGGCCAGGGTCGCCGCGCGCGCGGCGGCCCGCGCGCATGTCGCACGGCACAACATAGCGCGTGAACGGCAGTAGGCAGACCCGCTCGCGGCGATCCGCGCGCATCTTGCATGGCAAACATCATGCGCTAAGGGCATGGGTCGCCGCGCGCGCGGGAGCCCGCGCGCACCCCGCATGGAACGCCATAATGCGCGAGGGGCCATGGGCCACGGCGCGCGCGGTGGCCCACGCGAATCACGCATAGGAAAACACAGCGCGCGAAGGGCCATGGGCCGCCACGCGCGCGGCGGCCCACGCGCATCTAATATGGGAAAACAAAAAATTCGCCAAGGGCCTGGGCTGCCGCGCGCGACGGCCTTGGCACTATCTGCGTGGGAAAACGCACAACGCGCGAGGGGCGCGAGCGGCGGCCCCGGCCCATTTGTGCGGGAAAACGCGCAGCGCGCGAGGACAATGCCGCCGCGCGCGCAGCGGCCTTGGCCCATTCTGCGCGGGAAAATGCACTATACGCGAAAGGCGAAGACCGCCTCGCGCGGGGCGGCCCTGGCACACTGCGTGGGAAAACGTAACACTGCGCGAGGGGCAAGGCCTCCGCGCACGCGGCCGCCATGGCCCATGCTCTGTGGGAAACGTACGCACGCACACTATTCCAATAGGGCGAGAACTACTCATTCATTGACCGGACCAGCCTGTAGATCTGCACTCAAAAAAACCGAATGCATGTTTCAATGCGTGCGCGTGCGTGTATATGTTCACACTCGAATATTTAGCCAGGGGAAAAAAATCTTTATCCGGCGGCGTATTGATGACACTCGGGATCCACGGGGGGGTTGGAGGGTCATCATTCGTTTAACAGGTTTTGGATATTGCCTCCTCTCTCTCTCTCTGTCTCTATCTCTCACAGCCCTCCCGCCTCCTTTCGTCCCGCTCCTAAGTGTTCAGGAATCGGGGGAGGAGGAGGAGGGGCACCACCACAGCGGATGAGTGCGCCGAAACGGGACAAGGGAAAAGGTGACAGGGTTTGGAAAAAATAGCAAGCGCGACGCAGAGCTGAAAAAGAGAAGACAAACCAACTGCAGGGCACGAGCAGACCATCGTGCAGGCCGCGAGGTGCGCCAGGCCACGGACACGAGTAATTCAGCACAGCCAAGCCACACGGCTGGCGGCAAGCGAGCCGGCAATCACAATAGCGACACAAACGAAACATTTGGTACAGGAGGAGGATGAGGAGGAGAAAGAGGAAGGAATAGGACAGGGAAGAATACGATAAGTGAGATCAGTTGGGAACTCGGGCCAACTTGGGCCGTTTTGAGGCGGTCCCGGGGACGTTTTCGGATGTATTCGAGCGCCGGGAGCTTGCGAAAACAAAAACCCGCGCACGCAATCCCGGAGCAAGGATCGGCGAGGGTGATATATTGTTATGTGTGTACACGTGTGCACAAAAGGATGTAAGCGGATACGCCATTGGGAACACATGCTGATATGCGGGCGCACTCATCTACGCATATGTTTCCGCACGCGCCCACGTATATGTAGTTACGCATGTGTTGCTGTGTATGATTGTGTTGCATACAAACATGACAGGCATGAGTAATAATCGAAATTTTGTGGTGTGGCACAACTCGTACCACCGAATGCACTATACTCAATGTCGGTGCAACACATGCACATATGCAGAAAAAAAGGGCAATTTGCAAAACACCACATGAATATACTTACGTAGAAGTATGTGCATATGCGCGTCTGTCAACATGTGTATATATACACATATTCATACGCAAACTCCACATCAAGTGTGCATTTATGAATGAGCATGCGTATGCGTGTGCATGTATAAGCGTATGTATGTGTATATATACACATACGTATATACATACATATGCATAAACATATACCTATACATATACATATGCATATACATATACATATACATATATATATGTACACAAATACACAAACATACACACACACAAATACATATATATATATATATATATATGTTTGGCAAATATGCACGAATACGCATAATTATATATATATATATATGGAGAGAGGGAGAGAGAGAGATACTTCCGGAAACGTTCCGGATGTTTTCCAGCGAGCTCTGCGCCGCACAAATTTTATGGAGATCTCCACAAACAGATTGCTCGAGTTCGTGACTGTTGGGAAATTGTCCAAGGAAGGTTTTTTGAACCGGAAATTCTCCGAAATTTGAACGAATTGCCAAACTCAACTTGGAAATCTCCCCAGAGATTTTTCGCCCAGGGGGCTCCAGTCGCATTTGCCAGATTGACCCAATATAACACTCGTTCTCCCCCCCCTTCCTCGTCCTCCTGGGTCGCGCGCGTCCCCTCCGCAAAACAAAAAAAAAAACGTTGCGACCCCCGCGACCTACACGTAAGCTGCCATGGAGGCCACGTGCTGGACGCACAAGATGAACGGTTTGAAACTCTTGTCCGTGTTGACCGCGCCGAGGTGGGCTCCCGCCGCCTCGACGACCCGCGCGACCCACGCCGCGGCCTTTCGGGGCGGTTAATGAGGGGTTGGGAAAGGGGGGTCGCAAAGGGGAATAGTGAACCAGCTCACGTAAATGAGCCTCCCAGCGCCACCTAGCGCCAGAAGCGGCCGTGCATCGAGGAACATGCCCCGTGGTGGGGCCGAAACCAGCTTCACGCACCAGTTTTCGCAACCTTCATTCCGAATCCCCCACAACCGTCGTCTGACCCACATGATCTTCGTTGTCTGGCCTTCGGGCCATAGCCTCGGACCCCGGCACCGTTCAGGGCGATCTGGGTACCCCTGGAACGCTCTCGGCGAGGCGCAGCTGCTGGAGAACATCCCGCGGCTACCCCGCCGAAACTTCCGAGAACCTCGAACCTCGAACCCGTTCCTTTCGCACGCCTCCCCCCGTCTATTCCATCGTCCGACCCGAGGCCTCGCTGGACATCGGGGCCCGCGCGAGGTCCGCAAGACTGGCGCGGAGCTCCGGCACGGGCGTGCGATCCTCGGGGTCCGTGCGGCCATATCGGGGGCCCGGGGGACCCCCAGAGCCCCCCCCCCCCCTCCTCCTCCTTCCTCCTCCTCCTCCTCTCCTCCTCCTCCTCCTCCTCCTCCTCCTCCTCCTCCCTCCTCCTCCTCCTCTCCTCCTCCTCCTCCTCCTCCACTTCCTTCACCCTCTCCTATTTTTCCTCCTCCTCCTCCTCCTCCCCTCGTCGTCCTCCTCCTCCTCTCCTCCTCCTCCTCTCCTCCTCCTCCCCCGCCTCCCCTGCCCACCTCCAACACAGCTTATCCTCCCTCCTCCTCTGCCTCCTTCTCCTCCCCTCCTCCTCCTCCCCCTCCCTACCTCCTACACAGCTCCTCCTCCCTCCTCCTCTGCCTCCTCCTCCTCCTCCTCCTCCTCCTCCTCCTCCTCTCTGCTGCTGACCCTGCTGCTGCTGCTGCTCCTCCTCCTCCACCTCGTATGGGAAACTGCACACGTTCACGCCTGTAGCCGGTTTCCCGGCGTTGCCGTTACGTGGGGTGTGGGGGGGGGTCGGGGGTGGAAGGAACATGCGTTACGCCCGGAAACAAGTGGCACGTGCGCCATGGCTCGTGCAAAAAAAGGAAGGGGGAGGAGGAGGAGGAGGAGGCGGAGGAGGAGGAGGAGGAGGAGGAGGAGGAGGAGGAGGTGGGGAAGGGGGGGGGAGATGGCGTGCGTCGCGACGCGGAATAACATTCTCGGAGCGGAGGGGGCACGGGGCGGAGGTCCCACTGGGACGCTGGGGGCGCGGAGAGGAGGGGGGGGAAGTGGGTGTGTCGCGACGCGGAATAAAATTGTCGGGGCGGAGGGGGCTGGGCGGGGCATGGGGCAGAGGGCCACGGGGCGGGGGTCCAACCGGGGCGCCAGGGACGGGGGGGGAGGGGCGCAGGCGGCGTGCGTCGCGACGCGGAATAAATTGTCGGGGCGGAGGGGGCACGGGGCGGAGCCCCCACTGGGGCGCTGGGGACGCGGGGAGGGAGGTGGGGGAGGTGGTGTGCGTCGCGACGCGGAATAAAGCGTTCGTGGCGGAGGGGGCAGTGGGCGCCCGGGGGCGCTCGCGGGGGGGGGCAGAGAGCCACGGCGCGGGGGTCCCACTCTGGCGCTGGGGACTGCGACGCGGACGTTCGTGGCGGAGGGGGCAGTGGGCGGGGCTCCCGCTGGGGCGCTGGGGACGCGGGGGGGCTCGGGGCAGAGAGCCACGGCGCGGGGGTCCCACTCTGGCGCTGGGGACGCGGGGGGGGGGGGGGTGCGACGCGGAATAAAGCGTTCGTGGCGGAGAGGGCAGTGGGCGGGGCTCCCGCTGGGGCGCTGGGGACGCGGGGGGGTCGGGGGAGAGAGCCACGGCGCGGGGGTCCCACTCTGGCGCTGGGGACGCGGGTGTGTGTGTGTGTGTGGTGTGTGTGGTGTGTGTGCGTGTGCGTGTGCGTGTGCGTGTGCGTGTGCGTGTGCGTGTGCGTGTGCGTGTGCGTGTGCGTGTGCGTGTGCGTGTGCGTGTGCGTGTGCGTGTGTGTGTGTGTGTGTGTGTGTGTGTGTGTGTGTGTGTGTGTGGTGTGTGTGTGTGTGTGTGTGTGTGTGTGTGTGTGTGTGTGTGTGTGTGTTCGACGCGGAATAAACTGGTCGGAGCTCTAGACACCCTGTGCAAGATATATATATATATATATATATATATATATGAACAATCACAAGAGGATCCCAAGACCCGCCAAAGAGCCTCCGCAATGCCCCCAGATGCCCCCAAAGAGCCCCAAGAGGACCCCACGACGCCCCCCAAAAGCTCCATAGCTCCAAGAAGGCCTCCGATGCTCCAAGATAGCCTGCAACATGGCTCAACATGTCCTTCCCCCTCCTTTCTTTGACCGCTCTGTTTCACTATATGCGTCTCTGCTTTCCACTTCCCGTCTGCTCTCGTGGGCAGGGCTTCTGAATGGGCTGGCGGGGATTCGCGAAGCGAAAGCAAAAACACGTGTTTCGCATAACCCGCGCAGTCCGATACTGGAGATATAATATGTGCTGCTGGTGAGGCTGGTGGAGACTAGAGGGGTGGAGCAGGTAAGAAGCCTGCTACCTGACAAAGAAGGTGTTATTCCCTGCCGCTGGTAACTGCTATGGTATCTGGCACATACTATAGTGTTCGAAGGACTGGTGGAATGGTGGAGCTTGCAAGAGAAGGGAATGTGAAGCATGAGGGGGCGTGGAGCTTGCTTGCGTAAGAAGGAAGAGCAGGAAGAGAACTCCAGAAGGGGAAAGACGCCCACTCAGAAAGACTAAGATGGCGGAAAAGGCATTCGTGGAGGTGGAGGCCACGCTGGCCGCAGAGCGTCGAGAGCTGCTGATGCCGCCGCAGCCGCCGCAGCCACATGGCAAGTGTTAGGTCAGGTATGTCCTCCTACAGGCAGGTTTTGAGGGAAAAGTGAGACACATTCAACAACACAAACAATTGGCCTGGCGAAGAACCCAACCACATGCAATTGTGGGTACAGCCGTTGTATGCGCCGCATTCGGTGGGGCTCCCTACGAGGCCGCGAAACGTGTAAGGGGTGTGCCAAAATGGGCGCGAAGGGCGCACGCGAACGCTGGCATTTAGGTCTTCGGTTGGGCTCCCTGTGGGGCCACGAAGCGTGAGAGGGGCGTGCCAAAATGTGTACGGTGGGCGCATGCGATCGCTGGCAGTTGGGCCTTCGGTGGGGCGGCGGGCGCATGCGAACGCTGGCATTTGGGCCTTCGGTGGGGCTCACCGTGGGCTCACGAATCTTGTGAGGGGTGTGCCAACATGGGTGCGGCGGGCGCATGCGAACGCTAGCATGTGGGCCTCGGGTGGGGCTCCCTATGGGGCCACGAAACTTGTGAGGGGTGTGCCAACATGGGTGCGGCGGGCGCATGCGCACGCTTGCATGTGAGCCTCGGGTGGGGCTCCCTATGGGGCCACCAAGCGTGTGAGGGGTGTGCCAACATGGGTGCGGCGGTCGCATGCGAACGCTGGCATTTGGGGCTCCGGTGGGGCTTGCTATGGGGCCACGCAACGTGTGAGTGGTGTGCTGAAACGGGTGATGACGATGACGAGAAGAGGAAGGAGGAGGCAACGGGAGGAGGAATGAACGCGGGGACCGTCTCTTCAAAACGAGGACCCAACAGCACAGGATGGTTGGGAAAAACAGTATCGTCCCCAGACTACCTGCTTAAACTGTTGTCGAATCCTCCTCCTGAAAGGGGAGGGACATGCCCGACTTAAGGCAGGTGGACCTTCCACGAGCCGAACATGATCAATTCATGGAGTGCGCGAGGACGCCTCCGAGGAGCGGCACCGCGAGGAGTTCTTCATTGGTGATTCGGTCGCCTCTGCCTCCGAATGCGAGGGCAAGATGACGAGCCTGGCACGAAGTACGAGGAGAGGGCCACGCAGAAAAAGAAGAACACGAAGAAGGCGGAGGGGACTCGCGCTGAGCCCGAGGCTCACTTGAAGCGGATTGGGGGTGGCATTCTCGAGGTAGTTGAGGATTAGATGGAAGAACCTCTGCCTCCCGTTGCTGGCCGGGAGGGGCTCGCTCCATAGGAGGAGTAGTTCGGAGATGACTTCGAGGGCATGGGAGAGGACCTGAAGAAGAAGCTCCAGCGGTTGAGCATTCTCCGAAAAAGAGTCGTCGACAAATTCTTGCCGTGGGACTCCCGTGGGCCACTCTCTTGGCCAAATTTCATGGCGCCTCTCCCCCTCCCTCTCTCTCTCTCTCTCTCGTTCTCTCTGTATATCTTTCTCTCTCTTCTATTCCGTGCTCCGTATATCCATCTCTCTCTCTCCCTCTCTCTCTCTCTCTCTCTCTCTCTCTCTCTCTCTCTCTTGGCCGCTGACGATTATTTTTTATCCGCGGTCCTCGCCAGACAGGTTCCCCCCCCCTGTCCTCTCGGCCGATGGCGATTATTTACACATGCGGCCCCCTCTAGCGCACAGGCAGGTTCTCACCAGACGTGGCCCTTCAACCTGGCCATGGCGACGGCCGAGCCGAGCTCGAGAAACATATCTGGACAGCTGGCGCGCCTGTAGCGCCACGCCCAGAAGTGCACCCAGTTCTCGAGCTGCGCCTGCGACTCCTTGCTGTACGTGTTCATCGTGGTTGGGACGACGTTCTTCACGTGCGACCACAGCCCGTCCTGGAGCTGCGTCCCGCCGTAGCAGCACAGGACGTCGCCCCCGCTCAGGGTCAGCGTCTTGACAGTCGCCCAGATGCGCTTGGCGTGCTTGACCTTCGTGTGGTTCTCGAGGCGGCGGTAGCACCGCGCTCCGTCTGTGTGCCAGATCAGCACGTCGGCCCCCGTGTGAGCTGAGATCAGCGGCGCGGTCTCATCCGTGCTCTCGGGGCGCGTCGGGCCGCCACGGACCGCATAGAAGGGCGGCAGCATGTGCACGACGGCGTGTTCGTGGTCTCCGCGCTTGCACATGCCGAACACGCGGATGTGCATGTTGCGCCCGTTCTTGAGCTGGACGACCCGCAGGGTCGTGGCGTCGGTCTCGCACTGGCCGCTCAGCACGATCGACTTCTGCTCTTCCCTCGAAGCAGCCGAGACGATCTCCAGCAAACTCTGCCTGACCGCCTCGCACTGCTTGTGGCCCATCTTGGCAATCAGCGCCATGTCGGCTGTACTCATGCGGGACGTCAGGGCGCCGCACGACAGGAAGGCGACGCCCGCCAGCTTCGGGAGAGGCACTTCCACATCCGCCCACGTGCCGCTCGTGACCTTCACCTGCACCGAGGACGACGAGCAGGCCTTGCGCTGACACCTCTGGACTGGATGCCGCTTCTCGCCCCTGTGAATCACCGAACCCAATGGCCATCCGCACCTGGGGCAAACGTTCTCGGAGGGGTCGCCGAGGTACCCCGCCTGGACCATCAAGTCGTAAGCATCCTTGGTCTTCAGAGCCCTGAGGTCCTCGTACGTGTAGATCTTGGCTAAGGAAGACCTGCCGCGCCGCACGCGGGACACCCGCTGGCGCTTGGGCGTGTAGAACACGCCCGTGGCTTCCAAGCGCTTGCGTTTGGCCTGGGCCGCCTTGCGCGCCTTCCGCGCCTTGGCCAAAATGTCGCGGCGGCGCGAGGCGGCCTGCACCGACCGCTTGTTGCGACGCTTCTGGGGGAAGCGCTGCCCTCGCGCGCGGCTTCGACCCCTGGCCTCGGAGGCGGCGGGGCGACGGTGGACGGTCATCCCTGGCTCCAGGCGCGATAGCACGGGCGAGGCAGTGCGCGAGAGGCGCGGGCACCCGCGGCTCTGGCTGCCGATTCGGCCAAGAAACGGCTGCGGCGATGACAGCAACCATACCGGATGGACGGCGATGGCGGCGGCGGCGGCGACGACGACGACGTCTGCGGGGGCGGCTGGATTTCTTAGAACGGCAAAAGAAAATGGCATGATAACGCGCGGTACTTGTGGATAACCCTATCAAGACACAACATGTTGGCGGCGCGCGCCCCCAGCTCATCTGGGGCGCAGCGGCGCGCGCCACCTCGGCAGCGCGCGCGGCATCAGCGCCCGAGCTGAGGGTGCCATCGCTGCCCGCGAAACCCGCGCGCCGCACCTGCCCGCCCGCGCTCTCGCGGCCGCCCGCTCACTCCTGACTCTGAGAACCGAGGAAAGCGCGCGCCTCGTCCTCCTCCGCAGCCGAGGGCATCGCAGGCACAGCGGGCGCCCCCTCCTCGGCCAGCATCTGCGAGAGCTGGACCTCGAGATCGTCGCGGGGCGGGGCCGCGGGCCCAGATGCAGTGGACGACGCCGCGGCATGTTGCTTGGCGGGGGACGGGCTGTCGACATTGAGCGTCATCCCCGAGAGCAGGCGCTTCCGAAACGTCAGGCGCTCAGGGGACACGCGCTCTCGCTTCACCTGTCGGGAGGGGCTCAAAGATGATGTCCGCCAAGGCCGAGGCAGCGTTTCAGCGTTCAGAACGCGTTGAAGTGCTCCCTCAGCCCTAGGACCCCACCCCGCAGGGCCGCATCTTTGAACCCCCAAACCTGGACGAACGACGGGGCTGGCAAAGAACCGAGGGCCGCGTCTGAGGACTTCTTGCGGTTCTTCTCCACGGCGGAGTCCACGAGGAGCCGCTCCTTCTCCAAGAGCTGCTGGATATTGGCGGGCGGGGTCATGTCGCCGTCCTTCTGCAGTAGGTACAGGCGCTTCCCCTCGGCCGTCAGGAAGGTCTCGCCCTTGAAGTTAATGCGCGGAACATCTTTCTCCTCAGTGCCTGCTGGGCGCCAGTAGAGGTATTCCTGGGTATTCACCAGAAACGCAGAACGCTTGAAGAAAGCCAGCATGCATGCGCGGGTCGCCTTCTCGGAGAAGGCAGGGCGCACGAGCTCGAAGAATTCCTGGAACTTCACGGAGGGCCAGCGGTCCAGCTTCTCGGCATTCGGATCGTAAGTCTGGTCCGCCAAGCACCGAGGCTCCCCCTTCTTCCATTTCGTTGCGCCCCACCTGGCCCAGCACATGCTCTCGTACTGGCCGACGTCGAGCAAGGCCTTCACCATCTTGGGCGGGAGGAGATTCAAGCAGCCATCGTCCACAAAGTCCCCCATGAGAATGTCGCCGGGCTCGCCTCGCAAGAAATCGATCTCAGGCGTGACGCGGATGCAACAACCCGCGGGGTCCAATCCGTGGACCCGCGCGTTCCTGCGGCACATTGCCATCAGGAATGCGCGCCCGAGCGGCGTCTTGCCGATGTTGGGCTCCCCAATGAGGACAAGCGAATCGTTGCTGTTGATCAGCTCCTGCATGGCTTCGAGAACGCGAAGGTTGAAGTGGTCCTCGCAGAGGATCACGTTGTTTTCGAACTCCTTCTTTGCAAGCGCGCCCTCCGCCGCGAGCCCGCTCAACGCCTTCGCCACCAGGGGGACGGGCCAGCCGTAGAGGGGGGCGCCTTTGCGTAGCGCCTTCGTCTGCCATACCAGCTGCTTGAGCTCGGCCGTGGAGCGAGGCGCGTTCTTCAGGATGTATTCGAAGCCAGCGTTTATATCCTCGTCCGAGAGCTCGTAGAACTCGTTCACCTTGGTGGCCGTCTTGACGTCTGGCGATAAGAAGAAAGCCCGACACTGTTTGCCTCCGAACCGCTCGAAGGCGTATTGCCAGACCTTGACCCCCACCTGGCGGCGCGATCGAAAAAACAAAATGGCGAGGGCGCCGCGCCCTCGCCACCCTTTTGTTTCCCCAATCGTGCACCTTGGGATGCTGGAAGCAGAGCTTCTTGACGCTCCCGAAAGCCATGCTGGCGAAGACGGCCGTCTTCGCCTTGTTGGGGATGACGCAGTGTTTGATTATGGTCTTCGTGCCGTCGGGGGCGTCAAGGATACAAATCTGCAGCGTCATGTGGTGTTGCGGCGCCGTCTTGAACCCGAACGGTGGCGGCAGATTGTGGTAGCTGTCGTCCTTCCAGGCCGCCTTGTATTGCTCGTCGAGCTCGGGGGGGACTGGGTCTCTATGCCCCGTGATGAAATCAATGTAGTGCACCAGTGGGTTCTCGTTGGCCCCGATGTCGTCCGTGAGTTCGAGAAAAGGCTCGATTTCTCCACGGGGCAGCACGCCCGTTACCATTGGTGCAGGAAGAGGGCGGCAATACCAGCCCTCGGTCGCCGATTTCAGGTCCTCGTAAGCGGCCATGCCGCGGTCTTGAATGACGCTGAGGGTTTGCCAGAAGGCGCACGCTCGGCGTTGCGATTGGGCCCAAACAGCTACGAGCAGCGAGGGGGGTCAGGAAACGCTGGGTTCCTCCAAGATTCCTGGATTCCTGGATTACTCCTGTGTTCCTGGGTTTCTCCTGGGTTCCTGGGTTCCTGGGTTCCTCCTGGGTTCCTAGGTTCCTGGGTTCCTCGGTTCCTCCTGGGTTCCTGGATTCCTCCTGGGTTCCTGGGTTCCTCCTGGGTTCCTGGGTTCCTCCTGCGTTTCTCTTGGTTTCTTGGGTTCCTCCAAGGTTCCTGGATTCCTGGGTTCCTCCTGTGTTCCTGGATTTCTCCTGGGTTCCTGGGTTCCTCCTGGGTTCCTGGGTTCCTTGGTTCCTCCTGGGTTCCTGGGTTCCTCCTGGGTTCCTGGGTTCCTCCTGGGTTCCTGGGTTCCTCCTGGGTTTCTTTTGGTTTCCTGGGTTCCTCCAAGGTTCCTGGGTTCCTGGGTTCCTCCTGTGTTCCTGGATTTCTCCTGGGTTCCTGGGTTCCTCCTGGGTTCCTGGGTTCCTCGGTTCCTCCTGGGTTCCTAGGTTCCTCTTGGGATCCTGGGTTTCTCTTCCGCCTCCTCCCAAGCCCCTTGCTGGCTACCGAAAGGTACCCGAAGACGGCCGAAGAGCACCCGAAGTGCTCCCGCACGGCTCCCGAAAAACACCCGGAGGGCACCCGCAAGGCACCCGAAAGGCACCCGAAGGGCACCCGCAAGGCACCCGAAAGGCACCCATCCTCAGAATTCGGGGGTCGACGCCGATAGTAAAAATGCACAACGTCATAATGATTATGATACTTCTTCAAATCTGATTTTTGCACTTAACGAGAAATGCTTCGCTTTCCGTTCATATGCAACGGCAACAACAAAAAAACCCCAAAAAAAAAAATTCTCGAGCGTTTCCCCCTTCTGAATGGTATATTTGGGGAGTTGCGCGGCACGTGTATACTCGCAATGCACTCCGCTAATTGCTAAGGCACCCGCAAGGCACCCGCAAGGCACCCGAAAGGCACCCATCCTCAGCAACCAGCTGGGCCTTGAGTCTGCTGCCGTCGCGGGAAGGGGATGGCGGGCACGAAAGAGAGGGTAACCAGAAAACTTGGTTGAGGGAGAGAGAGGTGAGGAGAGGGGAGGGGCATCGAAGGGACATTGAATTTGCGATGCCCCTGGGTTCCCTCCTGGGTCTCCTCCAGGGGTCTCCTGGGGCCTCTCTGGGGCCTCTCTGGGGCCTCCTGGGGCCTCCTGGAGCCGCCCGCTCCCCAGGGGGAGGGGTGGCGGAAGCGAAAAACCAAAAAAAACACAAGGAAAAACCAAAAAAACCAAAGAAACCAAACACCAACAGCCGAAAAACCAAAAAAACACAAGGAAAAACCAAAAAAAACAAAAAAAACAAAGATTTCGATACTTCGTCCACCCCCACCGCCCTGACAGCGAAAGTGTTGTAAACTTTGGTTTTTTTGGTTTTTTTGGTTTTTCCTTGTGTTTTTTTGGTTTTTCGGCTGTTGGTGTTTGGTTTCTTTGGTTTTTTTGGTTTTTCCTTGTGTTTTTTTGGTTTTTCGCTTCCCACATCCCTGTGTGGCGCTTTCCAATCGAATCCCTTTGTTGCGGTTTCCAAAGGATTCCTGCTGTGAGGCGTTCCACTGGAATCCCTTTGGAATGTTTTCCAAAGGGGTCCTGTTGCGAGGATGGGAGGGAAGAGTGCGATTGCAACGCTATGCGTCTGCAATGCAATGCAATGCAAACAAAGAGGAGGACATGCATGCAGACAAACAGGAGGAGCAGGAGCAAGAGCAACCCACCATGAAATTTGGCCAAGAGAGTGGCCCACGGGAGTCCCATGCCAAATTCTTGAAACTCTGTGTGCTGTGCTTCCCAGCGTTTTCATCCGTGTGGACTGTCTAATCGGCAAAATATGTATGTGGGCCTATTATTTGGGTTATTTTGGGGCGACGTCTTCCAGCCCCTCTCGGCTCAAGCCAACTGTTTCACGCCAGACTGACAGTCTGTCCGCAAGCCTCGCAGAGCTACAGCCTACAATCAAACAACTCCCCGTCCTCCATCCTCCTCCCCCCCTCTCCCCCCCCTCCTCGTATTCCGATTCCTCCTCCCTCTCCCCCTCCCCCTCCCCCTCCCGCTCCTCCTCCTCTTCCTGCTCCTTATCCTCCTTCTCCTCCTCCTCCTGCTCCTCCTTTTCCCTCCTCCTCCTCCTCCTCGCTCCCTACCTCCCTCCCTCCCTCCGCTCCCTCCCTGCTTCCCTCCCTTCCTCCTCCCTTCTCCCCCTCCTTCCTCTCCCCTCTGTCCACCCTCCCCCTTTCTCCTGGACCCAGGGGGCCCTCCCTGAAGCTGGCTCTCCTGCCCGAGCTGTCTTTGGGACGGTCCCCAGACGACCCCCCCAGGGCCCGGAGAGTGCCAGACAGCGGCGGGAGAACCTCGGGTGCCGTTCGGAAGCCGGGCAAGGGCTGCTAAATCCGTGGCTGCTAAAATCCACCTCCGGGAAGTGTCTTCGTCCTTCCGGGAAGAAGCCCGTTGACTGTTTTGCGTGCCGCGCCTCATTCAGGGAAGTTGTTTTTTTCCTTCAGGGAGGGCCATCCACGGTTTCAGCAGCCCTCGCCCAACTTTCGAGCCGCTCCCCTCCAGGCCCGCCTTTGGCGCCGCGGGGGGCCTCGTGCCGCCCGAAGGACATGTCCAGGATCCGGGCGCAGCGCCGCGACAGCTCGGCGCGCCCGCGCCTGAAGGCGCCGAGCCCGGGTGCCTCCGAGAGGAGGGCCTGGGCCACCGCGGGCGCCTCTGGCGGATCAGAGATGGGGCCTTGAGGGACGGGAACGCTGCCCAAGCAGCTCAACTGGTATACGCAACACGCAACACGTGGCGTATTGATACGGAGCTCCTCCTCCTCCTCCTCCTCCTCCTCCTCCTCCTCCTCCTACTGGAGTGAGAAGAAGGAGCGCGGGTCCGACGCGATAAGTTCGCCAAAACGTGGGCCAATACGTGGAGTCAACACGCAACGTATTGACACGGACGTGTGGAACACGGGGCGTGCTGTGTTTCAATACGGGCGTATCGAGACAACTAAGTGCCAAGCACCGTGCCATGCTTGGGCCCGCGCCGCACAGCCTGCGCGCCGCACCCTTCCTGGGCCGAGGGTGCACGACGCTGCGAGGGCCCTGGGGGTTGGGGCCCTGCACAGAAGAAGAAATCTGCATCGACCCGTTGACGAGCGCGGAGGCCAAGCAGTGGTCTAGCACACCGTGGAGGTGAAGCTATGCGATGTAAGCTGCGCATGTGGTGAGAGCTGTGACGTGGAAACTATGTGGCATGAACTGTGGAGGTCAACCTACTGTGTGGCGTAAGCAATGTGGTGTCATCTATGCCGTGCAAGGTAGACGGTGTAGACTGGAGGTACAGAGGAAGGTCAGAGCGACGAGGTGCAGCATATGTGACAGAAGACCATGCTGTGCAAGATGTGCAGCGTCAGCTACGCTGTGAAGGCTCCCTGGTGCCACCTGCGAGGCAGCACGCGCGGCAACGGGGCCCAGCCTCGGGACACCCGCCCGGCGCACGGGGCGCTCACGAGGCGCCCACGCGGCAGCACGGGCGCCAACGCGGCAGATGTCCCGAAGGCCCAACGAGTTACTTCAGAGCATCTATTCTGGTGTTGCTGGAAGGACCCCTGGCCCTAAGGGGTACCCCCAGGATTCTCGAGGTGGCCCAAACGGCCTCCAGGGCACCCCTCACGAGGCCCAGAGGGCCCCAGGATGCTCAAAAATGGAGCGAAAAGCTGGGGGCACCTTGGGCCAGGGGCACTTCTAGCAACACCCGATCTATGAGGAAAGCCATGTCGTGCCAGCTGTGGGGCGCAGGCTGTGTGAGCCACGAGGCGGCCACGGGTGGCGACGCGGCGAAACCTCAATGTGTGGGGCAGCGTACGATGCGCAAGCAGAGGCAGCCACGGGCGGCAAGGTGGCGAGACCACGCCGGACCCACCCAACGCACGAGGCGGCCACGGCAGGCAACACGGCGAACCCTCGCCAGAAACGCTCAGCGCACGAGGCGGCCGCGAGGCGGCCGCGAGGCGGCCGCGAGGCGGCACCGCGGAGATGCCTCGACACACCCAGGCAATTCCCGAATAGCATGAGGTTTGTTGCGCCGTGGTTGTACGAGTTGTGTGGTGCAAGGTATGTGGTGCAAGCTATGTGGTGCAAGGGATATGGTGTCATCTACGTGGTGCAATCTGCATGGTGTAGCGGATGTGGCGCAAGCTAGGAAACGGAAGGTGTAGGGTGCAAGCTACGTGATGTGTGTGTGTGTGTGTTTGTGTGTGTGTTTGTGTGTGTGTGTTTTGTTTTGTGTGTGTGTGTATGTGTGTGTGTGTGTGTGTGTGTGTGTGTGTGTGTGTGTGTGTGTGTGTGTGTGTGTGTGTGTGTGTGTGTGTGTGTGTGTGTGTGTGTGTGTGTGTGTGTGTGTGTGTGTGTGTGTGCAAGCGACGTTGGGCTGCCACAGGAGGCCGCGGGCCATGGCGGCGACTCCAGCGCCAATCCAAGGAACTGACGCGGAGGTCACGAAATTTACGTTTCTATCATCGTTTCTTTTTCGACTACAGTCGGCACGAACGAGCCTCGGCCACGAATATGTTCCACGACCGAAAATTTGAGGAACAACCCGAAAACCGATCGCCCTCTGGCACCCAAGTGGTCCTTGCTTCACCGACTTGGCTGTACGGCCGAGTGGCCTCAAACAGCCACGGGGCCCTCCTCTCCGATCAGAAGGGCGGCCAGGAGGAGGAGGAGGAGGAGGAGGAGGAGGAGGAGGAGTGAGGAGTGAGGAGGATGGAGGATGGAGGGAGGAGGGGGAGGAGTAGGCAGCCCGAGCGGCCCAGGTCATGTAAACCGCAGTGCTCGCGGCTCCTGTCCTGAGGGCACCGTCCCTCGCGGCCCCAGCTTCGCGAGGCGGGAATTATCCATACCCACCGCCTGGGAACCGACGTCCTGGTGCCCCAGCGGGCGGCGAATATGGATATATTTCGGCCCCCGGGGGCCCGAATATGTCCGTATCCACCGCCTGCCGAGGCTCCGAAAACTGATCCCTCCAGGCGGTGGTCATGTATACACTCCCGCCTCTGAACTAAAAACCCGCCGGCGCCTGCTGCACACTGGCGTACCTCTTCGCTTGCGCTGCCGTCCTCCTCACGGGCACCTTGGTCCGCCTCGTCGCCTCGGCAGGGGGAGACGAGGAGGAGGAGGAGGAGGAAGAGGAGGAGCAGGAGCAGGAGAAGGAGAAGGGGGGTGAGGAGGAGGCGGAGGAGGAGGACGTGGGTGTGGAGGAGGGGGAGGAAGACGTGAGTGTGGACAAGGGGGAGGAGGGGGAGAGAAGAAGGAGGAGGAGGAGGAGGAGGAGGAGGAGGAGGAGGAGGAGGAGGAGGAGGCGGCGGCGGCGAAGCGATATCGGGCCAAATGTCTCGTTTGCCCGCAAGACCACACTATTGGAACGGGATTCTATCATGAGCCACCTACTAGGCGTGGTGCACCGCGAATGACAAACAGCTCTCCTTCAGCGAGGAGGAGCCTTAATTTGTCCTCGCTCGACCACGGTTCCCGGCGGGCGGCACCTCGGCATGGTACGGAAAAGGCACCCCAGGTCCGACCCAGGGAAAATAATGCGCCACCTACTGTGCGTGGTGTATACAGCGAATGACAAACAGCTCTCCTTCGGCGAGGGGGGGCCTCAAATTGTCCTCGCTCGACCACGGTTCCCGGCGGGCGGCACCTCGGAATGGTACGGAAAAGGCACCCCAAGTCCGGCCCAGGGACAGGAAAATCATGAGCCACCTACTGTGCGTGGTGTATATAGCGAATGACAAACAGCTCTCCTTCAGCGAGAAGGGGCCTTAAATTGTCCTTGCTCGACCACGGCTCCCGGCGGGCGGCACCTCGGGATGGTACGGAAAGGCACCCCGAGTCCGACCCAAGGACATGAAAGGCACCCCAAGTCCGACCCGTGGTGCATAGCGAACGAGAACCAGTTCTCCTTCAGCGAGGGGGAGCCTTGAATTGTTATTGCTCGACCACGGTTCACGGCGGGCGGGACCTCGGAATGGTACGGAAAAGGCAGGCGGCGTAAGCCACCGAGTCCTTACAACTGAACGCGGAAGGCGCAGGGGGGACGACGAGAGGGAGGAGGAGGAGGAGGAGGAGGAGGAGGAGGAGGAGGAGGAGGAGGAGGAGGAACGAGAGGGAGGAGGAGTAGGAGGAGTAGGAGGAGGAGGAGGAGGAAGAGGAGGAGGAGGAGGAGGAGAACGAGAGGGAGGAGGAGGAGGGGGAGGAGGAGGAGGAGGAGGAGGAGGAGAACGAGAGGGAGGAGGAGGAGGAGGAGGAGAAGAGGAGGAAGAGGAGGAGGAGGACCAGGATAATGAGGAAGAGGAGGACGAAAGGAAGGAGGAGGAGGAGGGGGAACAGGAGAACGAGGAAGAGTAGGAGGAGGATGGACGAGCAGGGGGACGAGCAGAGGGAAGCGCAGAGCTGGCCCGTGCGAGCCTGATGCTGCACTGCGCGAGGCCCCCCCCCGTGGGCCCGTAGCGCGGGCGGGCGTTATGGGTTGAGGGAAGACGCCTTCCATACATTAGTAGGCAACTACTGGGAGGCTTTCGTCGGAAATATGAAGGAGGATTAAGCCCCAGTTGGGAGCTACTACGCCGGAGAAGGCCTCGGACTAAGCAGGATTCAGCCGGATTAAGCGGGACTCAGCGGGATTATGCCAGACTAAACGGACTTAAGCCAGGTTAAGCCTGATTTCGGACCAGGACAAAAAAGAATTTGACCTCCCAGGAGTTGCATCCGAACATGCAGTAGGGGCTCGACCACGAAAAGCCTTCCACAAGAAACCCAACCACAGCGCGGGCGGGTATCGTGGGTTGAAGGGAAGACGCCTTCCACACAGCAGGGCTTCGACCACGAGAAGCCTTCCACGAGAAGCCCAACCGCAGCGCGGGCGGGTATCGTGGGTTGAGGGAAGACGCCTTCCACACAGCAGGGCTTCGACCGCGAGAAGCCCTCCACGAGAAGCCCAACCCTGAGACCCCAGGACGCCCACTGATTGTTGGCGTGGGGGAGCGCAGCTTTCTCCATAGCAGAACCATCGAAACCCAAGAAAAACCCAGGGCACCCTGGAGGCAAGCAAGGTGTTTCTTGGCATGGCCCCCCAGCGTATGGCCTCGTAGCGCGGGCGGGTGTTTGTGCTGTGAAGGAAGGCGCCCTCCATAGCCCGAGCTGCAAGGAAAGGGGCGCAGACTGGGTTCACGGAAATGCACAACGGCAAAACACAACCCCACCTTGATAAAGAACCGCCACCCTCCATCGGCACAACAATTGCACGGTGTATGCTGCACGAATGGCGATACTTGGCACAAGAGGAGAGCCCGATGTTCCGTGTTCCCCAAGCGGGGCTTGCACTTAAGGGTTCTTACTTCTCTTCTACCTGAGCCCACACGTCGGCATGGCGGCTATGTGGTCGCCGTCGCCACCACGTCGCCGCTTCATCGCTGCCCGTCTTCCGCGCCTGCCCGTTGGTCTGGCGGCTGTTGGGTCGCCGTCACCCCCCCGTCGTTCTGGGCATGCCCGCAAGTCTGGCGGGAATGAGGTCCCCGTCGCCGCCCCATCGCCGTCTGGGCCTGCGTTACGTTGCACCGCGTTGCGTGATTTCGCATTGCGTTACATTGATGTGCATTGTTTCATGTGCGTGGCTTTGCACCGTTAAACACGGGTTCGCATTGCTGTGCGTTGATTTGCCTTGCGTTGCATTTCTTTTCGCTGCCTGGCATTGCGTTGTACTGGTTCTCACTACCCCCATTCGTTTAGACTGCTTTACTTTATATGGCATTGCTGGGCATTGCTTTGCTTACCATAACACGGTAGGGAAGGGAATTTCACGAGGAGGGGATGATGATGATGATGATGATGATGATGATGATGATGATGATGATGATGATGATGATGATGAACACCGCGAATTTCTCTTTGCGGCCCTGCGTGCCAAGACGCCCGCACACACCACAACACGCCAAACAACACGCCAAACCGTGTTTGCAGTTACGGGTCTTAATCCTTTCCCTAAACAGAGTTTGCACTTAAGGGGTCCCCTACTACAATGTTGCGGAACTGGGCGACGTAATGGAGAGTAGCGCTGCGTGGCACAGATGTACTCTGGTCCCCACGTTGTGTGGTCTCGCAGTGCTCTGCGTTGCTCGGCATTGCTTCGCATGGCTCTGCATTGCTTCGCATTGCTGTGCGTTACGTTGTGTAACTTGCGCCACAACAATTGCATCGTATAGCTTCTCCCGTGTTAAACACTGCGCCAGAGTAGCTGGCCGCTCTGCGCGCAAGCCTGCGCGCGCTACCGCGGTCGCAACGATGCGCCAGCCAACGCCATGGGCCATGCAGTCATCGCAATCGCCGCCGCTGCGGGCGGGTTGGCGGGATGATTGCGCAACCAGTGGGGTTCACGACCCATTCGTGAACATCACGTCGGTGCACCGCATAGTTTGCACCACATAGCTTGCACCACATAATCTCGAACATGAAATTAACACGCAATTGAAACGGCCCCCACCGCCCCGCAAATGTATCGGCACCCCCTGTGGGAAAGTGAGAATTACATACGGTTCGGCCCCACCGTTCATTTCAAATACGGAGCCACACCATCTAAAGTAGACCCCATGTCCCTCCCCCGCTCATCCCTAACAGACACTGTCTTGCGCACGCTGTCGGCAATCAAAAACCAGCTCTCTAAAACCCTCTGCAACACATGGGACAACGCCCACACGCGCGAAGCGCCGCGCGCGCATGCCGACGATTTATTCCGACGCACAAAAACCCAAAGTCATGTTAACATCGAGCGCCCCGAAACATGAAACATAAAAATGTATTTGCACTACGGCTTTTCAATTAAAAACGAAGGCCGATTGCGCATCCGTGGGGGCAACCAATGTTTTTATCGGGTTTCTCGCGCGCGTGTCGCCACGCGATTGCACGCTAGCCGGGGAGGGGGGGATATCCCCGTCGAATAATGCCACGCGGGGTACTCAAGCCCGTCGGCCGCACGCGCATGTCGAAATTATTCCAAAACCTTGATCGCCGAACAGTGGGCACAATCATCGCCATGGGTGTGATCAGCATCGGCGCCGTCAGTGGCCGTGCCGTCGTCATCGTCATCATCACCACCAGCAACGCCACTTGCATCATCGAGTCTGCTGTTGTCGACGTCGTAATGATACCGCGCCCGCCCGAGCAATCGACTCGCACTGAAGCGCCAGCGCGTCAACGCGGCCTACGAGACACGCTGGGAACTCCCCCGCGGTCAATGCCAAGACGGCCCCGCCGGTCGCGCCAAACTACCTGGCAGCTCTGCGCGCCAGCCTGCGCGTGCTGAGGCGGCTGCAGCGATGAGCCAGCCAGAGCCAAGCACTCATCGCAATCGCCGCTGCATGGCTTTTACAAACCAAGCTGCGGGTGGGTGGGTGGGATGATCACGCGAGCAAGGGGGCTAAAACAACTCACAGTGAACATCCATTATACTTTCTTGTCTACAGAAACTGAAGATCTTCCCCCATGGGATTATCCGCACCCCTCTTCGCATGTCAATTTGCAGACGAGTCTGCCCCATCGTCCTGGACGATTGGACAGAATCATATGCATATTGCCCCGTCGTCCAGGACTCTGCCCTCGAATATGGGGCAGAGTCAAATTCAGGATGGACCGTCCTGAGTATGAACCCGTACTACCCCAGCCAGGCCTGTATCGACACCCCCCGGCATCCATTGCAAAACGTTCTATGCGCGCGCAGCCGCTTATCAAAACCATCTGTGTTCAAAAACCCTTTTGCAAAACACAAGAAAAAATGCACACGCGCGCGTCGTCGCGCACGCATGCCGGAATCCTTGTTCGCAGGTGCCGCAAAGATTATTCAAAATCGAACGTCCGGAAAACATATGAAAACACACGGTTTCGCAACACGGTTTTCAAACAAGAATAACGTGCGCGCGCTCTTGCGAATTCTTTTGAAAAAAACCAAACGGACTTCGCGCGCGCGCCATGTCGAAATCGTTCGGACGCCCTTGCGCGCGTGCTGTCGCGAGGATCCTTTGCAAAAAACGGGACGACGTGCACGAGCGCGCGTCGTCGCGCGCGCATGCGCATGCCGACATCGGTCCAACACATCAG